CCCCAGCCAGCATGGCTGGCTGGGGAATTCTGGGAGTTGAAGTCCAGCTATCTTAAAGTTGCCGAGGTTGAGAAACACTGTATTAAAATAAGAAACAGAGCTCACTGAAACCACTTATAAAAACTCATGCAGCATCATTCATCCTGCTTGGAACCTGTGTGCTTAAATACTTGACCATGGAGAGCCTCTCCTTCCAACTGCAGTCTACCTTTAGCAAAATAGAACCAATTCATGGCAGGACCTCATGAACTAGGGACTTTACTCCTAACACTGTACTATCTGTCAGGAGGCTGCAACTGAGGTCTCTGTGTTGTGTTTTACATCCTCATCCTGTGTTTCAATCCAACGGTCAGCGCTCTTGCACGTTCTTCTATCATCATGGAGACAAAATGCAGTAAAGGTCCGAGCCGCATATTTTCCTAACTCTTTTGCTCTCTGTAGTCATTGCTATGGAGAAGAAAGAAGAAACATGAGAAAGGAGAGAGAAAGAGAAGATCAGGAGACAGAACAGAGAAGATCACACAAGGAAAGAAACTTTCATCCTCTGCATTCTCCTAACTGCTGTGCGAAAAGAAAAGAGCAGTTGCACTCTGGCCCAAAGCCAGCTTTAACAGCACTAATGAAGGAAAGAGAGCTGACTTGCTTTTTTTCCCCTGCAAGGCCATCTTGATTCCTGCCAACTAAATGGACAAGGCCGTGCAGTCTTCTAGGTCAGTGTTTCTCAACCTTAGCAACTTTAAGATGGGTGGACTTCAACTCCCAGAACTCCCCAGCCAACAAAGAACTGGGAGCTGAAGTCTGGAATTCTGGGAGTTGAAGTCTGGAACTCTGGGAGTTGAGGTCTGGGAATTCTGGGAGTTGAAGTCCACCCATCTTAAAGTTGCTGAGGCTGAGAAACACCGTTCTAGGTGACATCTGCAGAAGTGGCTTGCCCTTGCCTCCTTCTTCCTAGGGCTGCGAGAGAGGGGCCGGCCCCAAATCCCTCACCTGGCTTCCATGCCTAAAGCAGGACCAGAACTCAGATTTCCCTGCCCCAAGTCCAGAACTTTAAGCCCCAGACCAAACTGGCTCACTTTTACTTGAATAAGTAGCCATCATTAACAGGGGTGTCCACAGAGTGTGGTCCAAAAAATCAAGATAGCAGCTGCCATACTGAACTCAAAGTTTTAGGTGCAACAAACACTTTTAAAAAAGGGGTGGAGCTGGGATCCCACCATCGGGGCCACCATCTTGACTTTTTTGACCACACTCTGCAGATGTCCCCAAAAACTGAGGATTCAGAAACTGCAGGAAGTTGTGATTTAAATGCCTCCTATCCCACCCTATCCAACAGGGCTGTCTTCTTCTGCTATCATACAATAATATTATGCCCTGTTCGTATTACAGTAGTGAATTCCTTAGCAAGCGAGTGACTGTTGATAAGTATAAAATATAAAGTAGGTTTTTTCCTTTTCTTTCCTTAGTTGAGTTTTTTTTTTAATTCTTTAAGATTAAAGATTGTTTTGTTAATTGTGTATGCATAAATAAATATTTTTTAAAAACGGACTGCCCTCTTGGTTTAAATCTAAAAAAAAGTGATATGTAAATGCTGCGGAGAAAAGCTATTACGACATTCACAGTTATGAACTTCCTCCATCTTTCTCCCTCAGCCGAAAAGGCCGGGTGGAGGCAATGCACTGGTTCTGCCTGCTTTTGCATCTTCTTCCACTTTTGGGGTTTGATCACAGAGGAAAAGAAAATCAATTTATTCATTTATTTTGATGTGTCGCATTTATATGGCCGGCCACCTTGCACAAAGCAACCCTGGGCGGCCACCAATAAAACCAACAATTAAAACGGTCTACAAAGCCAGATTAAAAACAATGAAACGCCAATAAAAACAAGATGGTGAGAGGGAATCCCTCAAGATGTGGCCCGTGATGCAGCCAGCGCGCGGGCTCCCTGTTGCCAGGGGATCCCCAGGCCAGTTGACAAACCCACATTTTGAAGGCTTTCTGGAAGGTCACCAGGACTGGGGGCTAACCTCACCTGGGGAGGGGATGATGTTCCCGGGCTGGTCCTCGTGACTTTCACCGGATGAAAGGAGCAAGGAAGCTAAAGAGAAGCAGCTGGAATTCACACTGAATTTGGGGAGGTTGCATGACGAGGATCCACACCTGGCAGGTTCCTTGACTTTGCAGCTTTGCAGCCGTCTGATTCCCGTGGCCTCTCGAGAGAAGTAACCCCAAACCCTCACATGAGTGGTGGCGTTAGTATAAGGGTC